CCTTATTTCTAATTTCAACCCATTTTTTTCACTGGACAATTTTTCAGAAATAACACTGAATAGAAATATCTTCCCTAATTACAGCAATAATATTTTCCTTAATCAAAAACACCATTCCCCCTACTCTTTTGCCTCTTTTTCTATCCTTCCTATAGCATCTGAAACCCGAAACATTGAGCTGCCAGTTCCATCTATCCCTCAGCCAAGTTTGTGTAATAGCTATCATGTCCCAATCCCATGTTCCCAAATATGCCAGAGTTCATCAGCCTGACCTGTAAGACCCCTTCCATTAAAATAAACGCATTTTAATTCTTCAGAGTTACTGACTTGCTCTTATCTGTCTTTTCTAAAAAACTTGTTTCTTTCATATTCAAAACCAGTCTCATCTATCTTTCTATTTACTCCGCTACTTCAGATCCCTTCACACCCTCTAATTGTTTAGAGGCTCCCTTAATAGAATTAGCAGATCTTCCTGCTAGGATTTCCTTTCTAGTGCAGGTGAAACCCATCCTTTTTGAACATGTCTTTTCTGCTCCAGAAGAGATCCCAATGATCCAAGAACCTGAATCCCAGAACATTACATCATTCTTCAGCCATTGATTTATCATCTCCTTCATCGTTTTATTCCTTCACACATTTGAGCTTGGATTCAGATCAAGATGGTGGCAGAGCAGGACGCTTCAGACGGAACCGGTTTGCTCTGTGTGTTTCTTTTTCTTTCATTTTCCCTTCTCTTGTTTCTTTCCTCCCTTATTCTCTATTCTTTCTTCTCCCAGCCACAGACTCCTAGCCTCAGGCTCAGCGCAGGCCCATCGAGGCAGCCTCCCAGCCTGGCAGTCTTTCCGCCCTTTGAGGCAATCTCTCAGTCTAGTAAGGCGATGTCTCAGTGGCTCAGGGTGGCGATCTCTCGGCCTGGCATGGTGGTCTTTCAGCAGTACATAGTGACCTCTCAGCCTGGCATGGCCTCAGCATGGATTTCTGGTCTCAGGGTGACTCCTCGAAGTGTACTCCCACTGTGGCTAAGCACTTAAGACTGTAATGTCATTATTCCTTTATTTTCTACGTAAAATTAAGAAGGTGTCACTGTTCTATAATTATTGCAATGTTTAACTTTTAACTTTGTTCTTAAGATTGTGTACCAAGGTGTGTTTGGTGCCTTGTGTTGGCGACATTATACATTTTTCATTTTTCAGTGTACTTTTGTACTTGAGTACACATGACAATAAAAATCAAAATTTTGGGGCAGCATGATGTCTCAGTGGTTAGCACTGCTCCCTCACAGCACCAGGGAGCTGGGTTCGATTCCAGCCTCAGGTGAATGTCTGTGTGGAGTTTGCACATTCTCCCTGTGTCTGCGTGGGTTTCCTCCGGGTGCTCCGGTTTCCTCCCACAGTCCAAAGATATGCAGGCTAGGTGGATTGGCCATGCTAAATTGCCCATAGTGTTCAGGGACGGTAGGTTAGGTGGGTTATAGGGGAATGGGTGTCTGTGGGATGCTGTGAGGGTCGGTGTGGACTTGTTGGGCCGAAGGGCCTGTTTCCACACTGTAGGGATTCTGTGAATCTATGAAAATCAGCTTGGCACAAAAAGTAAACCAGAAATTACTACTTTTGAGGTTCTGCCTTTAATCTTCTACCTAACCTCCTATTTTCACTGTAAAGCCTTAATCTTTTCCCTAACTATGTCACTCCTACCGATGTATACAATAAGTTCTGGTTTCTCACTCTCCCCTCTAACAATATGCTTTAAACATTTCCTGGCACCAGAAAAGCAACATGCTATCCTAGATTCATGCTCACTGCTGCAGAATCTCCTGTCTCTGCCATTGACAGGAGAGTCCCCTTTAACTATCATTCTTTTAAGTTTTGTCAAACCCGACCTAACATAAGAATCATTCTTAGTGCCCAAGATCTGACTGTCTTTTCCATTTTCCTCTGAAAGACTATCCTTTTCAACTGAACCAAAAACTAAGTACAGGTATTTCAGCTATAATGCATTTCGTTAACATGAATTGGCTGTAATGTGATTGATGACAAGTGGATTCTGTTTGATAACGAGAACTTTCTACTGTACAGTACAGCGATTTTCCTATGACACGATTTTCTATGGTGATTTTCTGTAGTTGCGTTCTTGTGCGACCTCACACTATCATGTTATAGGAGAACTACCTTTATCTGTTTGAGAGATGAATAGCCACAGGAAACTTCTGAACAACCTTCTTACCTTTCCTGACAGTCATCCATCTGACTGATCCTGCTGTGTAAAAATAATGTTACTAATATAGAAACAGAAACATATAGAAGATAGGAGCAGGTGGCGGCTATTTGGCCCTTTGAGCCTGCTCCGCTATTCATCACGATCATGGCCGATTGTCCAACTCAATAGCCTAATCCTGCTTTCTCCCCATAATCTTTGATCCCTTTTGCCCCAAGTGCAAAATCTAGCCACCTCTTGAATACATTCAATGTTTTGCCATCAACTACTTCCTGTGGTAATGAATTCCGTAGGCTCATCACGGAGTGAGGAAATGTCTCCTCATCTGTCCTAAATGGTCTGCTCTGAATCCTCAGATTGTGACCCCTGGTTCTGGGCACATTCTCCCTGTATCTGTTCTGTCTAGTCTTGCTAGACTTTTAAAAGTCTCAATCAGATTCCCTCCTCATTCGTCTGAACTCTAGCGAAAACAATCCTAACCTAGTCAATCTCTCCTAGTACGTCAGTCCCACCACCCCCGGACCCAGCCTGATAAACCTTCGCTGCACTCCCCTCGAGAGCAAGAGCATCCTTCCTCAGAAAAGGAGGCCAAAACTGCACACAATATTCTAGGTGTGGCCTCACCAAGGCTCTGTATAACTGCAACAACACATCCCTGCTCTTGTAATGAAGGCCAACATACCATTTGCCTTCTTTACATGCTATACCTGCATGCTTATCTTCAGCGACTGGTGCACAAGGACACCCAGATCCCACTGCATACTCCCCTCTCCCAATTTACAGCCAGCCATTCAGGTAGTAATCTGCTGCCTAGTTTTTGCTTCTGAAGTAAAAAACTTCACATTTATCCAAATTATACTGCATCTGCCATTGATTTGCCCACTCACCCAACCTGGACCAATCAACAGAAAACAAGTATCTGAATCACAATAACCACACAAAACATTGAAGGATAACAATATTTTTAAAAAATATTAGGCTTTGTATCTTAGGAATTTCAGAAGTGAAACTCTCCAAATCAATACCAAGCATTTTTTACTCTACGCACAATCGCTGGTTCAGAATACAAAAGGATAAAATTGCTTCTAAACTACTTATCCATTCAATTGGCATTCCCATCATGGGTGTCCTGAAATTTTGAGATACTTTATTTTGTTGACTATCAAAACTTGCTTGTAAACTTGAGCTACATTTTGTCTTGGTCCTTAATTCATTTCACCTCATTTCTGGAGGTACATTGTTCACAAATGAAGAGTGTAAAACCAAATCTTACTATGTGTTGCAAGGATTTATTTCAACCCTCAATTGTAACTGTGGAACTCCTTTCAATTAAGCAAATGTCTTGAAGTGCCTCAAAGCATGTCTGCGATTTGCCTTTGTAGTACAGAATCACAAGTATTACAGCACAGATGGAGGTAGCCTATTATACTTGCGCTGGCTCTCTATCCAGACATTAACTAAATTAACTTAGTGCCATTCTTCTAGTTTTTCCCCTCTAAACCCTGCATGTTGTTGAACTTCATCTCTTTTTTTCTCATCCGCTCCCCCCTTTCCCCACTTCCGTATTTCTCTTGGTTCTCAATTGTATTTTCTTTCTGGCATCTGTCATAACCTCATTGTTTCATTTATTTATCATTGGTTCCTCACAGAAGAGGATGACTCTTTTCCACTCTCAGGGAGAGTCCATAGGTGGCTGTACAGACTGATCCAGCTGCCGCAGGCTCCATTACACTTGGGGCAGGAGGTGGTCAAGGGATGGGGTGGGTGGGGCAGCACGCTCCTCTCACTATTTTCATCTGGATTCCATTTTTCCCCAAAAGCAAGTCTCAAGATGCTCAATGCCTTCCAGGCGCTCCTCCTCCACATTGGAGGGTCTTGGGCCAGTGAATCCCAGTGTCTGTGGGAATGCTTCACTTCACCAGCGTGTCCTTGAGGGTATCACTGAAGCATTTCCCCTGTCTACCTGGGGCTCACCTGCCATTTCGAAGCTGGGAGTAGAAAACCTGCTTGGGGAGTCTTGTGTTGGTCATGCAGATGACTTGCCCAGCCCATCATAGCCGATCAAGGGTGGTCAGTACCTTGATGCTGGGTATGTTGGCCTGGTCAAGAGTGTTGGTGCTGGTGCAGGTGCAACTTTCTTCCCAGCAGTTTATCATTTATTGTAGAATGTAGGAGACTGAGGGATGACCATATAGAGGTCTATAAAATCATGTGACATCGATAAGGTAGATAGCCAATAGCTTTTCTCCATGGTAGGTGAGTCTAAAACTTGAGGGCATAGGTTTAAGTTGAGAGGAGAGAGATACAAAAAGGTCTAGGGGCAACTTTCTCATGCAGAGGGTGGTGAGTGTCTGGAACAGACTGCCAGGGGTGGTGGTGGAGGGCAGGTACAATTTTGTTATTTAAGAAACATTTGGACAGTTACATGGATGGGATAGGTCTGGAGGGATGTAGACAGAATGCAGGCAAACGGGACTAGATTAATTGGGAAAACTGTAAACTTTTATAACTCTGCAATGTCAATCCCCTTTTTGATCCAGGAGCTCTGGAGTCATTTGAACTATCTATCTTTCTCTTTTTGAGGGAATACACCGTGATTGTATATGAACCAGTTTCTGTTGAAAGGTGGTCTATTATTTCACAATAGCTATTTTCTCACTCTTAACAGTTCCTATACATCCTACCTAGTTCTACACGGCCTTCCTCAATTTTCAATGCTTTCAAATTTATATCATCCGCAAAATTTGAAAATGTTTCGTGCACACAAAGATCTAAATCACTCATACATATCTGGAAAAACACGGGTCCCAATACTAATTTCTGGGGAACCTTCCTCCAGCTTGAAAAATATCAATTATTCTCCAACATTCTGCAGTCAACATGGCCTGGGTAGCCTCCACCTCTGTAGTGAAGAGAGAGATACAAAATATTAATTTAATACCTCAGTCATGCCCCAATGCTTCCCTTTCTGTTCCCTAATCAGCCCTACACTGGTCTACCATCCTTTTGCTATCTATATGCATCTGGAAGACCTTGGGATTCCCATGCTGTCCATCAGTCTTCTCTCATCATCCCTCTTCACTTCCTAATACGTTTTTTTTCACCTCTCCCCTTCTGCATTCCTCTTGGTCCTCCACTGTATTTTCTTTCTGACATGTCACAACTACATGGTTTTATCTTATTTATCTTAATTTCAACTCCCTTTTTGATCCAGGAGCTCTGGATTTGTTTATACCACTCTTTTCTTTGAGGGAATACACTTTGACTATACATGTACATGAACATATATCATTTTGAAAGATGGCCTATTGTTCAACAATAGCTTTTCTTTGCTTCCAGTCTGCTCGCCCTGCATCACGTTTGTCCACTGAAGTCAGCTGTCTCCACCTAACTATTCTTACTTTGGATTTCCTATTATCTTTTCCTCAGGTCAGAAGTCACATGACACCAGGTTATAGTCCAACAGATGTATTTGAAATCACAAGCTTTGAGCACGAGTCCTTCATCAGGTGGAGCTCTGTGACTTCTCAGCCAAAGCTGTCTTGTGCCCCCTTTTTGCCCTCCTGATTTCCTTCTTCAGTAACCTCCTGTATCCCCTATATACCTCTAGGGATTCCCTTGATCCCAGCTGCCTGAACCGGAGCCATGCCTCCTTTTTTCTGGTCAAAACCTCAAAATCTTTTGTCGTCCAGGGGGTTCCCTACTCCTGCCAACCTTGCCCTTCACCCTCACAGGAACATATAGACCTTGAACTCTAAGTGTCACTCTTAACAGCCTCTTACTTGCCAGCCGTCCTTTTGTCTGCAAACAAACTACTTCAATCAACCCCTGCAAGCTCCTGTCTAATTTGATCAAAATTCACCTTGCCCCACTTTGGAACTTGAACCTGTGGAACAGTTTTGCCCCTCTCCATAACTATTTTTAAATTAGTAAAACTACAGTCACTGGTCCCAAAGTGCTCCCCCACTGTCACCTGTCCTACCCTATTCCTCAACAGTAGGTCAAATTTTGCCCCTTCCTGAGTAGGGCCCTTTATATAATGCTTAAGGAAACTTTCCTGAACACATTTAACAAATTCCACCCCTTAACACTAGCCCTCCTGTTTTTCTTTTCCTATCTTTTCTGAACACCTTGTACCCAAGAATATTTAACCCCAAGTACTGCACTTCCTTGAGCCTGTCACCATTATCACCACAGCTTTGCATTTCCACATAGCAATCTGCATCTGTAACTCCCAATCTTATTTGCTATACTCCATGCATTCTCACACATGCACAGTAATCCTTATTTATTACTTCCATTACTTTCTCTTAACTTCACCGATTGACTCTATTCTTTACACTAGACTGTTTCTCCAAGTACTTTGTGCATTCTGGTATTTTTCTAATATTCTCTCTTGGTTTCCAAACCAATGCAGAGTTAGTTTGAAGGCATTTTGTTGTTGTTGAGTCTTTAAGGAACTCAGTTCTTAGATCTATTCAAATGCAACCTCTCTGGCTTGTTAAGATGCCATTTCCCAAAGATCAAAAGCTTTCCTCTTTGCACCATCTTTCCACCGATGTATTCATCTTCCTTATCCTCCTATTTCTGCATTCACTTGCTTGTGAAACTTAGTATACTAAATTTGAGGTCTTTCTTGATTATTTTGTACATAGCCATTTAAATTCTGATTGCAGAATCACATCCCTCTTTCTGCCCAAACAATTAGTAGCAAAGTGGACCATGACCTCTGGCTGTTCACACTTCCCCAGACAAATATCCTGAAGGTGCATTGTGACATCCTTGACCTTGGCACCAGTGTGGCCAATATATCATCCTGAAGTCATGTCTAAGGCCACAAAAACAGTTTCCCTCAACAAATTCCCTGTCTTTCTTCTGTGTTCATATTCAACGTTGCGAGTTTCATTGTCACCTTGAAGCCCTTCCATAACTTCATGTCCCACTGTGAAAGTCTGATGGCATATTCCCTACTTTACTCACAAAGTTCTCCTTAACATGGAGACCATGGCACAGACATGACAGTACTGAAACATTTCACCCAACCTGGATTCAAATCTGAATCATTGCTATTTGCAGTGCATATCATGTAAGCAATACTATTTATAGTTAAGGTGAACAGTGTTCAAAAGCCTCCTAGGAATATGTCTTGTGGGCCAGTATCTTAATGCAGTGTCAAAAGTATGCTATCACTCATGAAATGATTATAAATGCTTGTGTTTATAGCACACAGATTATTCAGCCCAAATTATTTAAGCCAGTTTAAAAACAGAAAATTTTGCAAATATTCAGCATGTCTGGCAACATCTATGAGAAAAGAAATAATTTTAATATGTTTGTTGATTTATAATATTGTTATTGAAATATTTCAGTATATTCTGACTTGTCAGAATTTACAGCTATAACAATAAGCAAGAACAGAGGTAGGGAAAGCGATGAATGTTAAGAGCAGGATTCTATGGAGGCCTGTGATAGTTAAGGGAGATTGAATGACAAAAGGAAAGTTGATACAACACATAACACAGTAATAGTTCAAGTAAAGAAATAGAACCAGACGAGGTGAGAATGGGAAATATAGGATCGCCGTCAATTTCCTCCATCTAGAACATAAGACAAAAAATTGTGGGGGGACATTATGATCGAAATTTTGAAATTGATGTTCAGCCTGAAAGATTGTAAAGTGGTAGTTGAGAGATAGGTGTACATTGAGCTTCATTAGAAAAATGTAGGAAATCAAGCACAGAAAAAAAATCAGAATGGGGTGAAGAATTAAAACTGGTTGATGCCAATGTTTACTATCCCAAGAGCTCAACCCACCCCATCAGAATATTCCGGTCTTGTCTTTTCTTTTAAATGCAATCATGTGATGTGAACATTTATGGCTAGGCCAGCCTTTATTGAATAGCCTTAAATTTACCAGAGGGCAGTAAAGCGTCAACAACATTGCTGTGTCTGGTGTTACACATAGGCCAGACCAGGTAGGGATAGCAGATTTCCTTCTTTTAGGAACATTCGTGAACCAGATATTTGACATTCAACAGTGGTTAGATTGACTGTCTATATTTCCCATTGCCTTGGGAAAGCAGCCAACATAATCAAAGACCCTTCTCACTCCAGTTACACTCTCTTGCGTTGGACAGAAGATAACAGAAGTTTGAAACCAAATAAACAGTTTTAAGAAATTTCTTCCTCACTGTTAGACTTATGAACTGAGGCCACTATCGAAGAACCCACAGATGACGTCACATCCGCCACCGCCGGGTTCCCCACTTCCGGGACAGCAAACACCATCGCTGCCGTTGCCACCGACACTGAAGTCCCGACCACCCTCACCGCTACTGCCGCCGCCTACCCCGCTCCTCCTACCTCCGACGCCGGTCCGCCCATCACCGACGCGGACGCAACTCCACCCACCGCCGGCGCAACTCCGCCCACCGCCGACGCAGCTCCGCCCACAGCCGACGCCGACGCAGCTCCGCCCA